GTTCGGCAGGGTGATTTTTGAGTTAAAAACTCAAAAAAAGGTAATTCGAATTATAACTTTATTTGAGTTTATGTTCTTTTAAGTTTGAACTTGAATTTAAACTCGAGTTTGGAACTAAAACTCGAGTTCAAGTTTCCCCTTCAACTCGAGTTCAGAAACTCGAACTCAAGTTAATGAATAATATTTTTTCTATTCTTAAAAATGCTATAACTTTTTCGTTTTAATTCTGATTGAGATGATTTTTTTTCTATGCGTTGACAACGAAAAGACGAATAAAACTAGACCCATATACCCTGTTAAAATTTTTCATTAGTATTGAGTTTTTATTAAAATACTATCTAAAAATAAATTCAAGTTTTGACTTACTCAAACACAAACTCAAAAAAGATTCTTATCTCAAACTATAACTCAAATGTACACAACTAAACACAAACTCAAATTACAACTTCAACTCAAGTTATAACTCAAACTCAACTTAAAATCTACACTCAAATCACATAACTCAAAAATATCAAAAGAACAAGCCCAAAGAAACTTACCAATATATCGCGAGCGTAAAAAAGCGTCGCTAAAATGCTCTACCCAACATCGGCGTTGCCAAAGCCACGCACCCAACAAGAAGACCTACAACATCAAGGTGACCAAAACCTCATAAATCAAAATTGAAGACTTACCGACGCTCCTGGAGAAGGCAACGATACGTGCAACCTAAACACTTCTCCTGAACAAGATTCAAAGCTCCGCCAAGTCGACCTCGCCAAGCCTCCATCACTAACGATGACATCACTATGAGTTTGAAGACTGCAGCCAGGACATGGAGTTCGGTGAACCATCTAGACGCCGCACTGGACTCTGGCCCACTTGAGAAGAACAGATGATGGTGCTAGAGAAGGGGATGTTTTGGCAGGTTAAACCCTAACGTGGGTTGGCGCTATGTTAATCTTCACCCTTTTTATTTTATTAATGGCTGATTTTGCTTATGATAAAAATCTAAATGTCCTTTACCGTTTCAAATGTTTATTTTTGTTCTTAATTGTAGGAGTTTAGGTATTTTTGTGGTCAAAATTAATCTAGACCGAGAAAAGATAGGCATTGAGCATAAACTCAAACTCTAAAAGCACACGTGTGTAATATTTTTGTTATTTTGAAATATTCATGGCAAGTGGTTTACATGATTTTTATTGATGTTGGTTGTTATTTCTACACGTATGTCAATATTTTCTTTATAATAGGAGTGTTCCATCATCACAACAGAGTTTTCTTTTATTATTATTTTTTAATTTTCCTAGGATTTCGTTTACCAAAAAACAGTAAGGAAATTTTGTAGTTCTATGACTAAGACGTTAAAGATGAGGGTTGATTTTCAAGATACTGCAATTTTAATTTTAACAGCAATATAGGTATTTTTTAAAAGAAATATATGAATTTATTGCGACTACATGGAGTGTATATGTTATTATTAGCCTATAGTAATTGTACTTTATTTTAATCGATGAGTTATGAGTATGCATATGCATAATCTTCTTAAAATGAAAAACTTTCAAGTTATAAAACTCCCCCCAACCAATTTGTTATGTATGGATGATGAGATTCTATTAAAACAGAGTCAATACTAATAAATTTATTGTAGGGTCCCATTGGCGTGCATTCAGTAGGAATTGAACCTATGAATTCACTAATTATAAGTTGAACGCTTTAACCATTCAACCATAGATGCTTAGCGGGAATCCTCGTACATGGTGAATGACCAAATTCCAATTGACATGAAATCGTTAGGGTAAATTAATGCAAGAGCCACTAAAAAAAGTAGCAAGAGCATATAAACAAATGACAATATCAGAATGCATCTGAATAAGATTGTGTAACCCTAATGTGTCGCCAAAAAGTGACGACACCACCACCACCATCATAAAAACCTACTACCGCGCAAACGAAAATCTTCAAGGAACTCGGCTAGCCATGGAATTTTGACACGTTGAGAAAGATGCACCAAATCATGAACCACTACGCTCCAATCCAAGTTTGATCCACCCCAATGGAGAGGCTCCACACCCCCTGGAAAAAGAAAAGCTCACAATGAGGCGAGCTTGGAGACTAAATTTCAGAACATGGAGCCATGCGACATCCCTGACGACTGCTCCGGAGCTCTTCCACCTCTTTCTCTTCAAACCTCGCTATTCTCTCTCGACCTTTTGATTACCTTTTTCAATTGACTTGAGAATATGTTCTTGTACTAGTGCTAATAAAAAGATGGGTGAGTACTTTGATACTTTGCTCATTTTTTCCTTTTTGATGAATATTGTTTTCTTTTAAAGTTCCCGTAAAAATAGATTACTTATAGTCTTTTATTTTTTAGTTATGAAATCTGTATCAGAATCTATCTATTTTGTATATTTTTTTAATATAATGTAATTGTAACTAAATTTAACGATTAAAAATTAAAATTATTAATATGACAGACTACCCGAAAAAGTCTCTTCCTTTTATTTATCCTTATACACTGTAGTTTGCATTTTTTTTCTAACGTCCTTTTGATATTAGTTAGAGAAAATGTAAATTACTTTTCAAAAAGCAAAACTCTCTAGCTTTTTCTTTTTTTTTTTGGACATAACTCAATGTGGGATTATTAAAATCTAATTAAAGACTAAACGTGCAAAAAGAAATTTGAAAAAGAAGCCCAATCGTCCTTTGGAATTAGTCTAAGGAAACTTCCAATAGACCTTTTATGCATCGAGTGCTTCTGTCTTTATGTAATTAAATATATCCCGTTTTAATGGAGTGGAATATATATATATATATATATATTTTGTTTTTTGCCGACAATGGAAACTAAAGCCATGCACCATGAAGACTGAATCTCTACCTAAATGAAAAGGGGGGAAAAAGTAGAACAAATAGTCATAAAGCACATACAAGGAAAAAAAATGTTGAGTAAAAAAATTTGTCTAAAAGTTAAGGTCTTGTTTATTTCACCAATTAAAATTTTTAATTTCAGTTTGTTATAATTAAATGCTCTTATAAAAAGTCACATTTAATTTTTTTATTACAATAAAAAGCTCATATAAAATTATATGTCAACTCGTATTAAAAACTCGAATCCGTAAATTAAACGAAACATGAATGGGGTGTTTACAACGTATATTAGGATCAAAATGGAAAATATAAACTGTCAAATTCTATTTCTTTCTTCTCTTTTCCCTTTATTTTTTTTTCTTGGGATCTCTTCTATGATAAATTATGTAGGCCTCGTTCATTTCACCGATTCGAGTTTTCAATTTTAGGTTTCTACAGTAAAAAGCTCTCAGAAAATGTCACATCTAACTTTTTTTACTACAGTAAAAAGCTCTCAGAAAATGTCACATCTCAACTTGAATTAAAAACTCAAATTTGCGAAGTGAACGAGGCCGTAATAGCATGCCCGTGTTTAATTGTACTGTCACTTACTGTACAAAACTTTTATTTGTCTATTTATTTTTCTAAAAATTTGTGAAATCCTTTTACGCTAAACGTGTTTGCATACCAATTGTGTCAATAAGTAACCTATTATAGTGCATTTGTTTAATTGAATTCCACTTTAGGTGCATTTTTTGCTATTTTGCCACCTTAATTAATTTACCTCAAAATAAATTCATGTTAAATTTTTTTTTTTTTTGCCCTTTTTCTTTTGCAAATAGCAAATTTGGAACTTTTCTTGAAGAAGGAAATTTAGAATCACGTATGGGCTGTCAAGGACATTTATGACATCATAACTAGACATAAGTGAAAAATTTAGAATTAATAACAATTTCATGCCTTAAAAAAAATAAAAAACAATTCATGCCTTTCTAGCTTATCAACTGTATAATATATATAATTAACCAAAAAACTATTTATGATATTATATTATAGTATGCGGTAAGTAAAGACTAGAGAGGAATAGAACAAAGTATGTGGTAAGTGAAAAATAAACTGGAATATATATCAGAAATTTTTGCTTAATAAGTTAAAGAGAATAAAATTCTAAACCATATTGGAAGGAAATTGAAGCCATAATCTTGGGACATAAAGTTGGCATGCATACATACATATCTGGGAATCAAAGTTGGCATCTCTATCCATTTTAAAAAAAAAAAAAAAAAAAGTTGGCATATTTCGGGATTCTATCATTCCAACAAAATGATTTCGCACTAAAAAAAATTTCCTTCTTTTCTTTAATTAAATTAAAATAAAGATTGAAAAAAAAGGGAAAGAAAGAAAATCCAGAAACCCGAATTGCAGAGCAAATACGGCGGGAGTATTTTTCGCTGTTTTTGAGGATACCTTGGGGACCAAGAATCGCCAGTGGCAATCCCGTAAATTCAACGAACGTTGACTCTTAAATTGGAGAAGAAAAAATCTCAGCGAGACTTTTTTTATTAATGAGAGCAAATTAGTCGACCAAAACACTTCCGAGTCGCGGCTCTACAACACTCCAAAGAGGCGGCAGAAACAACAATAAAAAATGAAAAAAGAGAAAAACCACGCGTCCCGCTGAAATGAAAGCGTACGAACTCGGTGTCCCTACCTCTCCCCTACGAACAGTTTCTGGTTGGCAAGCCGTGGCCGTCGGATCAGAGGCGTTTGAAAAGCAAGCGCCTAGTGTCGAGTGGGGAGAAAAGCAGCAACAGCGGATTTTGGTGTGTGACCATCATGGCATGGATGGAATGGATGGGATGGTCATGCCTCATGGATGCCCATGCCATGCCAGCTCTTTCAGTCTTACAATTCTGTTATTTTATTTTTTAATTAGTTTTATTGCATTTACGAAAATCAAAAATTTTAATTTTTTAATTTAATTTAATTTACTGGCCTACCTCTGTCTTTAATGCTCATTTTTGACCGCTTGGGGAAAGGTGAATGGTCTCGACAGTGTGAGAAGCAGAGGAAGAGAGAGAAAGAGAGAGAAAGAGAGGCAGACAGTACACAGAGACTGAGGTATAGAACTCTTTTTTAATATTTTTGTTTCTGGGATTTTTCGATAAATGGGTTATGTATATTTCGTTTTAAAAAGTCGGTAATTTTATAATGTTTTCCATGGAGATTTGCGTCTCTTGAATGGTTATTTTAATTTAATTGTTATTTATTTTGGTTCTGTTTCTCTCTCTCTCTTAAAACCTGGCGGTCTATGTCACTGCTTCTTCTAAATCGATAAAACCCCCCCGCAACTGATCTTTGTCATGTTTAGAAAGAGAAAATCGCAGCCATAGGTTCCTAATCCTCTCTCTCTTCTCACTCTCTCTCCTCTGTAAACCCCTTTGAAGGGTTTTTGTTTGCCGCTTCCTCTCCCTTTACCACTATATCTATCCAAATCTCTCACCAATTTTTGCTCTTTTTGCTCTCTGTTCAGTGAAACAAAGGAAAGAAGAGAGGGTAACAGAGTTTTTATTCCTTCTCTTGGGTTGCTTCTGATTCTCGGAGGAACTGAGAGTGATTGAAAGGGAGGAAGAGCAGGGGATTTATGTCGGCTGGGTTTGATTTGGCGCTGATTGGGGCTCCGTCGAAGCTCTGGCTTTTTACTTCTGCGTCTTCTTCTTGCTCGTTCGTCAAGAGGCTGAATCTGGTGAAGAATTCCGTTTCGATGCGTTTGAGACCAAAAAGGTATTTTTTTTTCATTTTTTTTGTTTCTTTTAGTCTTATAAACGCTTAGCTTTTCAGTTTTCACTGACATGGTGGTTTTTCTTTTGGGATTTTGCTGTGTTTTTTCACAGGACTTGTTCTGGAGTAGAGTGTTTTGGAACCTTTCATATAAAACGATTTTCCGTGATTTTCCTGTTCCTCAGAGGCGGTCTCACTTGATACTTCGATCTTAGTCTCAATTTTCTTCCGTTTTCTCTCCCAAAAAATTTTTCCCAAACAGTACCAACTTAGGAAATTTTTCTGAGAAACCAAACTTTTTTTCTTCTTTTGCTAAGATTTTCCGAAGATGCCAGAGCCTCGGAAGCAATCCAGAGGGGTTTCCATGGACGCAGAGTCCAAATCTTTGATGAGAAAAATCCGCGTAATCTGTTCCGATCCTTACGCGACCGATTCGTCATCGAGCGATGACGAAGGCGAGAGAGAGAGATTTCAGAGAAAATCTTCCTACCTATGCAAGCGGATCGTGCGGGAAATTTACCTACCTCTTTTACAGAAACCCACAAAGTCCCTCGATTCTTCTGAGAGCTCTTCTCAAGACAGCAACAATGGAGTCGTCACTACTACCCCAAACAACAAAACCCCAACCAACCCAAACCGCAAGAGGAGGGTTTTGGCCAATCGGCCCAGAACGTCGTCGTCTCCTTACAGAGGCGTCCGTCAGAGGAAATGGGGAAAATGGGCTGCTGAAATTCGTGACCCTTTTAAGGGCTCTCGTCTTTGGTTGGGAACTTACAACACTCCTGAAGATGCTTCCCAAGCTTACGAAGCGAAAAGGCTCGAATTCGAAGCCATGGCTATGACTACTGTTACTGTCACTTCTTCCTCTGCTGCGGTTGCCAAGTCGCAAAACGACACCGTTTTATCCTCATCCTCGTCCGAGGACTCCGAGGTTTCTCAGTCTCACAATTCCCCGTCGTCTGTACTTGAACCCGAGACTTCGACCTCGGCTTCGGCCCCGCCGCTGGCCTCGGCCTCGTCTTCGGCTTCGGAATCGAATCTTAATGTCAATGGTGCTGATTTGGTTAAAAAGAGTGTTGACGTTGATATGCTGGATTTGAGTTTCATGGATGAGGCTCTGGCGTCTCTTCCCTTTGAGCAGGAACTTGGGTTAGCCCCGGAATTCGATCAGCTTTTGTTGGACGACTTTGGGCAGTTTCTAAACGATGATTTTAGCAGTATTGATGATGTTCAAATATTTGGGTTTGATGGAGTTGAGCCCAGTGAGCTTCCCGATTGTGATTTTGAGGATCTTGGCAAGGACGACATGGCTTGTTGGATGGATGATGCTCTTAACATTCCCTGCTCATAATCGTCTCTATTTATTTATTTAATTACATAATATTATGATATAAGTTTTGTTTTATTTATGTTCTGATCAGGAATCGTGGGAAACAAGACATGGTTCCTGAGCGAGTTTAGTGGGTTGTTTATGTGAGTTCAACAGAGTTTAATTTATTTGTTTTAATGGCGGAGTTGAGTTGAGTTAAAAAAGTTTCCTTGGGTTTTCCTGTGCTGTTAGAGCCGTCCAAGGTCGAAAAAGACTTGATTTGTTATGTCGATGTTTGATGGGTATTAGAGATTTTGATCATTTGTTCACATCTCTTTCTACGAATCAAGTTATAAAAGAATTAATCGTATTTGCTATTGTGCTGAATTAATATGGGTATTTCTTGCTGCTGTTGCATTAAAATCATTTTGTCACGCCAATGCCACATGAGAGGCAAATTCGTTTTCGGTTGATGGGCGAGCACAATCATCGTGCCGTATTCTGTCTTTTCAACGAGGTTTTTAATAGGGACTGAAAATTACATACTCCTAATCCAATCTTCGATTCCCATAGGCTGTCGTAAAAATGATGTTTGGTTTGGTATACAATTACAATACAGCGTTTCTAGCTGTGGACTAGCACAGTAGAAGAAAGTAGGGTCTAAAGGGAAAAAGAGTTAATGGGCTGATCTACTTCTGTGGCTCTGTTCTCTGCCACTGAAGACTTGCTCTTGAGAGGTGTCGATTGTGGGGCCCCCGAAATGGCTTTTGGGGACTTTCACTTTTCGCCAAGCAAAGCACATCCTCAACTAGAGGTTAAAAAAAAGAAAAAAAGAAAAAAAAGATTGTGTTGTTATCTCTGGTTTAGTCCTTTTTTTTGAGCTAGCTGTCCTCCAATTGCCTGTGGATCTTTCCCAACTTTGTTTTTTGGACTTTTGGTCATTTTTTCGGACTTTGGGTTCTCAGTTCTCACTCTCGTAACGCCTTATTTAATGAGTGCCCGTGAGGATGGTGGGCGTGTTTGGTGGCACAGCTTCAATGCATTGCGTGTTATGCGACTCTTGGGGGTGGGGGAGCACTTGGGTTGGGTGAGTGAGGATATATTGCATGCGCGCCACTTATATTTGCCATTATTGGGACGAAAGTCTAGTTCTTGTTCTTGGTCTTGGAAAATTAGAGCTCATTGGAAGGACGAGGTTGCAATTTAATAAAGAAGATGGATAGAGGTTGAAACTAAAATCTTCCGAAATCTCACTGTCTCATATCAAATGATTGAGGAGGCTGGTAAATAATGCCATAAGCACTACTAGAACATTTTGATTGTTGTTATGATTCTACTACAATATCATTATCAAAAGCACTACTTAAATTTTAGCAAAAATTTTTGTTTTTTGTTTTTATTTTTTACTGATTGAAAGTGACATTTTGTTTTAACCATCGATAGATGCGGCTCCGTTGAGAGTTACGTGGATTGAAAATGCTACATAGTTGCGTTGGTTCTTGGTAAGCATGGAATCTTATGGAAAATCAAATTGAAGAAAAGGTAACTCCTAGAACACATATGGGAAGAAGAAAAAAGCGAAAAAATTGAAATGGATATGAGACTAATGGTTCTTTCAAAATAATGAAATTAACTGGCCTGATATTTGTACTTCTATAGTGTACTCATAGAAAAGAAAAAAAAAAGTTATCCTTTTAAAAAAGTAGATAAAAAAAGGACGAGAAAAATGAAATCGACAATACGCACAAACAAACATACATACACACAAATATGTTTTTTTTTTTCTTTTTATTTTTTTTCCCTCTTATGGACCTGCATAATGTATGTGCTTGTGTACTTATATGTTGTTTCGTAGGTATTGAATTTAATTATTATAGTGTTTTTTATCATAAAAATTTAAATTTAATTTTTTTTAATATAGTTTTTTTTTTCTCATACACAAACAAATATTTTGTTAATATTATAGCCTGCAAAGTGCAAATGAGATAAACATCAGACAGTATATTACTTAGAAAATTTCTCTGGTATTTTTTTTTAAAATACCGGTATTCTTTGCAAATTTAATAGTTAATAAATGAGAAATACTGGTGTTCTCAAAGAAAAAGTCCTTTTTCTTATTGCCGGTAAGAGACAGGTTTCATTAACATTAATAGTTAATTTGGGGATATAAATCTGATATGGATTTCAGTTCAAGAAACCGCAATACCTTTTTCGTTTTAGTTTTAAATATACGCTTCCTTTTATTTTCAATGAGATAATGCTTCTTTTTGTTTTAGTACTATATGCTGCTTCAATTATCTTCTCCCATTAATTTTGTTCCCAAACTTTGCGGGCCTAACGAAGCCTAATGAAAAATTAGAAATAGTAAAAAATAGGCTAATATGAAAAGATTAAGAAAGTATATAAGTCAATTTTTAGTTATAGAAATTAATAGGTTATAACTTGTTAAGTTATGGTTCATAACCAGATAAGTTATGGATAAACTTGTCAAGTTATGGTTCATAGCCAGACAAGTTATGGACAAAAACTGTGAATTATGGGCAATAACTTGTCAAGTTATGGTTCATAAAGTTATGGACAAAAATAGTAATTTGGCCTATTTATTAACTTATGTAAACTATTGGCCTATTAATTTTAATTCATCTCAAGTCCTGGCCTATTTCTCTCTTTCTCCCTTGAAAAATTTAGGCGTGTTTAGAATTGATTCCGCTTTTATTTTCTATGTTTTTTGAGAAAAAAAAAATGAAATCGTTTTTAAAACGACGTGTGGCGCAATAACAATAAAAATAAAAAACGAAAATGAAAATGATTTCTTAGTTTAATGTAAAATGAGAGAGAAATAAAAAATGACTTTTAGTCGTTTTTCATTTTTTGTTTTTGTTTTCTCCTCTCTCGAGCAGAGAGAGAAAGACATTAATGAGTTTTTTTTTATACTGAAAACAATCTCTTGATAAAAATACTAAACGTATTTTCAAAAATGATTTATGTTTGAGATTGAAAACGTTTTCATTTTCATTTTCATACAAAAAATAAAATCATTTTAAAACAAGTTCCAAACACGTCCTTAGCTTCTAAAATCAACTTGCAATTCTGTAAAACCAGAAATGGTTGGGACGTCTATCTTACATTTGAAATGGTGAACAAATTTATAAAAAAAAATCAGAATGACCATGAAGGAGAGAAGAGTAGAAGACAAAGACTTATGTGCTTGAGTGTCTACAAATTTTTTTCTCTCCACTTCATTTTTTTTCCCTAAAATTGACCTATGAAATCAATATTGCCTTCTTGGTCAATACCACCCCTTTGTTTAAGTTGCTCAGATCTATTAGAATAAAGGAATAGTTATAATTACGGAGGTTAATAATAAAAATATTATTATAAAAGAGTAATTTTGTATTTTTTATTTTAAAATTATAATGAAGATTTTTTAATACACATGGCATACAAGTAAATTACGGGCCCATATTTTAGGAAAAGTATTTGCATTTTCTTTTTGTTGCTACAATGAAATGGGATTTCCAATTTCAAATAATCTTTTTTTTTTTTGTGGTCATGTTTGGAATTAGTCTCGTTTTTCGAGAAAGAAAAAATGAAAACGTTTTTAAAACGGCGTTTGACGCAATAAAGATAAAAAATAAAAATAAAAATGATTTTTTAGTTTAGTGTAAAATGAGAGAGAAATGAAAAATGACTTTTAGTCGTTTTTCATTTTTTATTTTCATTTTCTCCTCTCTCGAGCAGAGAGAAAAAGAGAGAGACATTAATGAGTTTTTATACTGAAAATAATCTCTTAATAAAACTACCAAACGCATTTTTAAAAATAAAATCTGTTTGAGATTGAAAACGTTTTCATTTTCATTTTCATAAAAAAAATAAAATCATTTTGAAACGAGTTCTAAACGTGTAAGTTTTTCTAATGGTTGAATTTGTGTACTTTTTAATTTTTATGTAATTTTATACAAATTTAACAGACATAAAACATGACTTACTGATATGTTAACATATCAAAAAATGACCTAAATTATAAATACTTTCTTCTTTTTTAAGGGAGCTTTTTTATTCTTTCCACAACAATACTTGTAGATTCTTAGAGACGATTGCACTATATGCTCACTAAACCAAGAGAATCTTTGATAATATCGAAAAACAAACAGTTTGTATTTGGCCTCAGTTCTCCTTACCCAACCAATGCGGTGTGAGTCATTAAGCCTTAACTTTTTGGTCTAGGGCCATTAAAGTGCAATTAAATAGGCTTAATTTAGTCTGACTTTTTGTTCATTGGTCGGTTATCTTTGTCATCTTTAGTTGTTTACTAAAGATAATCTTTCTCTGTTCTATTTAAAGAGTGCTTATGTAGAAAGATCGTGTGATTATTATGTACATATAGATATCGACAAATTGTAGGGGGTGGGGATCTTCATCTTCTATGTTAACAAAAAGGGACAAAATAATTAATTGATATAATTCTGATTTGTGCTTATCATGTAGCCACATAATGCCAATTTTTAGCATCCTTTGTCTAAAAACCTAAGGGGACTTTTAAGAACTTCCTTGTAGTTCCCCGATGGCTGCGGGAAAAAACTTTATTAAAAAGAAGGCAAATTATAGGGTGAAACCTTTAAAATAGAAAATATTTTGTGTTGTTTTTAACTGTTAAATTAAATTTTTAACGATTAGATTTATGCATGTTCATAGTAAAAATTTACAGTACGCCGTATAGAACCACTCATTTTGTAATTTTAACCGTAAAAAATTTAATTCAATATTTAAAAGAAACATAGTGGAAGCATTTAAGGGGTTCAAAATAGAAGAAGAAAAAAAGATTATACTAAAAATTATATAAATATATATATTGTTGAATTGATACGTGTTTGTTGTCCATACATGCCTTAGATTTAGTTTCGTATTTTTAATTCTTTATAGGAAATAAAAAAAAGAAGATAAGATCCCACATTGGCAATTTAACAAAGACTCCAGCAAGAGTACAAATTTCAGTTGATTAGGAGGAGCTCAAATCAGGTCCCAGTGTGATATAAGAAAATGCAAGAGTCTAAGCACGTTTTGCCTCGCAAATTTTATTTTCTTCCTGAACATTTTTTATTTTTTGTTTTTTGTTTTGGGGAGGGGTCAACTAGCTAAGCAGACTTTAATTAATGGGAGAAATACAGAAATGCTGATGTCATCTTTATATTTATACC